AAAAATTAATAAATATAAACAGGGTTTAAGTTATTTCTTAACAATATGCAGACTAAAATGTCAAAGTATGTTTAAAATTTACAGTGGTGATTATCAATGAGACAGAGCAAAAGAAATAAGAAAAAAAAAGGGTCAGGAAAAAAATGAAATATACCATAGACAAAAATAGCTATATCACGTGATATTATCAAATAATCAATGGTGTTAAAAAGAATGGTTAGAGTGTGGTACTTTTGTCTGTTTGAGGCTAGCATTTTGTATTTATTTATTTTGTGCATACTACACACTATATGTTGCTTCAATATACCGATACATCATAACTTCCACAATCTGTACACAATTATTTTTCACAGTACATGCTAAATCAATGCTTTGTAATGTCTAATTTGTGCAAAATACCTGGTAATTATCATCAGCAAGATTTCCAAGGTCTAACTGAGGTACTCTGAAAAGTTCATCACAGAAAAAAAATTATTCTTGAATAAAGGTATAACTTTGTCAAACAAGTGAAGATTTTTAATTTTTCCTTTACCCCTGAGGTGCTTTTCTTCCACCAGTCCGACCCCGTGAAAAAACTTGAACCTCTACTGGCTGATCAGCATAATTTGGATTTTCCTTAAGAGTACAAAAATGAGATAAATCACACTGTTCCTGTATAGTAATAATTATTTAGTGGTAAATACTGCAACAGTGAAAGTATTAACATTTGATTTGTTCCAAAAAGAAAACTTCAAAATCTTATGAACTTTGCCAGCAAGTATCAAGATTTATGTACATTTCTAACAGTAAGTTAAGAGATAACATGTTAAAATAAGAGAAATCGCATAAATGACAAAGACAATTACATTAACTGATACAACTAAGAAATTAAGAATTTTGATGTAAATAAGTTACGTTTAATACACTTGACCAAAAGGTGTCAATTAGATGCATGAGTACAACTCAATAAAAAAATATTATCCATGAATTTAATGAAAGTTTGTGAGACTGCATACACAAAGGTTAAGAAAGATCATCTATTGGAATGAAAAATTATCCTATGAAGAATACAAGTATGCAAAATCAACAGTGATGGAAGGCCACAACAGGAAATTAAGTAACCAAGAAAATTAACTCAAATCCTTAATCATTGTGTGGTTGGTACCTATGCCTACATAATTCTTTGCTTTAACAACAATGAGCTTGATGAAACTATGTATGAATACCATAAGGAGTCATTATCTGGCTACACATACATATATAATGGTGTCAATGAAGTGTGCAGTCAAATAATTAGTAGTTTAAACCTTCAGCTGCCATTTTGAGAAGGCCTCTATGAACAAACCTTACTACCATATGCTTTATTTAACCTGCCATGACTGATATTTTTTATTACACTGGCTTATGAAATAATTTTACAAAAGTTTATTGAGGTGATTCCTCAGAAAAAAAAAGTTATCAGACGATTTTTTTAAAATGTTCCTTAAATGTCCCCTCTCAATGTCTGTTTAATACAATTTAAAAGATAGGTCACAGTGCCTGTTCAAGAGACATGATGAACCAAACTTACCCCACTTATGCCTGTTTCTAATCATGTATATTATTTGATTGGCCTAAAGTACATTTTGAGGTAGCTGGATGCAAGGGTGTTTAAAGTAACATTTCACTAAAAACTTGATAGGTAGAAACTCTCCAGCCTTTAGAGCAATTTGATAGATACTTTGTGAAAAAATGAGACAATTTTAAACAACCTCGACTTAAAACATTCCTCGAGTTGCTGCTTTCAAGGACATAATTTTCCTCATTGTGTAATGAGCTTTGTGCATGGTTTTAGCCATACCTTTTTTTCCCTTCAATGAATTTTTAAAATTTCTCGAATTTAAAGGGGATCACTTGTATAACAAAATAATGCAATGAAAAATATAGGTCACTATGCCTGTTCACAAGCTCAAGACCATCGTACCTCCTTAACTGGTCCATGTATTAAAAAACAATACTGTGTTCTCAGAATGTGAGCGCACTTATTTGTCTGATTATGTGATTTTTATGTACACTGGTGCAATACTGAGGAATCACCTTAATAAAGTTACATTTTTTTTTGTAAAATGCTGACCTTGACCTTAGCTAAGTTCCTAGCAGTATCCAACTGAGATTTTGTGATCACTGAGGCCTTGAAAAGAAAGCAGTTCCAATATCACCATAGTGAATTACTGAATACTCATAAATATAATTTATAGTACAATAAAAGGCTTGCCCATAAATACTGTCAAGGCTGTATGTTATAATAATAATAATAATAATAATAATAATAATAATAATAATAAACTAAGCTGTTTGTCACGTAAAAGCATAGTCAGCAGGTTTTCAACATGACTTTTTTTACACCTGATTGAAATATGAATTTTTACTATTCCTCTGTAAACCTCATAACTCACAACATCCTAATATTCATTAACCTAAAAATTACCACATGTGAATTACTTATATTATGGACCATTAAAGTGTTTTCTTAAGTTTTCAGATTATGTAACTGTACACAGAACACCATTCCTTCATAGTCACAAACAGTGACAGAGGTGCAGCCCTGCCTTATAACTGTTGTTCCCTGAAAGCACAATATTGTGCTGCTTACTTTGAGACACAATCCAGTTATTCAAAATCTTTTGGAATATCTGGTATCTGGTATTAACTAAAGTGTTTCATCTACGTAGATGAAGAAACAAATCATTTACTTGGAAGATGTATATAGCTGGCAGATAGTGGAATTATCATTCATATCTTAGCAGTCAGAGGTATGAGGTGTACAATTTGTTCAATTTAAAAAGGTAAATTGAAACAAAATAACCACTAAAAATTAAAATATTAGTGCTTAAATTTCATTACTTAGCTGAATCCCAATTGAATGTAACATTATCAATAACATTGTGTATTAATTTACTTCTACTGCATATCAATGTAAATAGTCTTACATTTGAAGTCAGTCCCACTGCCTTCTTGGGAGGGTGCCCACTTACAGGGCGTGGTGCCTCTGGCGTAGTGTGGATTGAGCTTGATTTAATACTGTTTCCATGGGAACTAGCTGTTGCATTACTATCAGGGTTGTTCTGTCTAGGGCTATCATCAATACCAAATATGTGAGATTTTGTGCTCCCTCCTCTCCCAGCACTACCAGGTCGTGCACGGCGTCCACTTGGCGGCCTTTGATGACGTGATGTGGATGTGCCAGTTACTGACAGATTGGGTTGGGAATTTCCTTGCCAAAAGCTCATTGCATCCCTGCCATATCTTACATTTTAATGTCTACAAGCAACATCAGACAATGCGATAAGTATCTAAACAAGCCTAACAAACATTAGTAAGATTTCCGCACAGCCCCATACTATTGTAAAACAAAGCTGTAGTCCCACTGGTAATCTCTTGTTTTCGCCATTGTTTCCTTTATCCCAGAACCGTTGGCATAATTATACATGGGGCTGTGCGGATATCTTACCCAAACTTTTAAGTGGTTTGAGCATTTAACACCACAGAAATACCCTGTGTTTTGCGTAGAATCGTCAACAATGACATGATCTCTAAAATAAATAAGCTCAAAATCTTAATAAAGAGCACAATGCCCGACGACTAACTATATTGTACATTTCTGTAAATTTCAAAGTGCCGAGTTAGTTATTACAAAGGACTCACTTCGCCTCACTTATTATCGAGTAGACAACTGAACCATTTCTTCCATAGAGGAACAACTCTGAATCGAAGAATTAGCACTGTGAAGAACATACAAAGAGATTCACCTCAGATCAACAGCATAATTTTCCCGCCAAAGACATTCGAAAATTAGAGCTGTTCACCGACGGACACTTCAACAACACTATCGAAGTAAGACTTCAGCAAGTTTCTCCATTACGATTTTTCAAATCAAACCAAGCTAAAAGTCAATCAGCTGTATAAGTTGGAGTATAAACAGAAACCATAACAGAAGGAAACGTGCTCAGCAACCATGTTTTGAGCCCGCATGGAATTTTCTGGCAAAACGCGGTCCTGTGATCAACTTGACTTCATGTATCTTACATGAAACGTCTGGGAACGCGGAACCAGCTTGACTTGACTGATAACAAAGGGCGCGTCAAAGATACCTTTAAAGCGGGAAGCAACAAGCCTATTCAGCCAGTTTCGATATGGACATTCCACTCATATAATCACAACCGTGACACAAATGGAAGAGTGAAGGCAACGAGTTTTGCGACGGGATGCAGAGAAAGAAACGTTATTCGTGTTTCGCTCTAGTTATTCGCGTCGAGTAGAGCAAATAAAAGCGACAAACTCAGGTCTTGTGTCTTACTTCTTTTTTTTTCTTTCTTTTTCCCTATATTAATGTTTTTAGTTTTTTCATTTTATATCCAAGGGGTATAATATACGAATCTTAACAAATTATGGTCAAACAACCCGACACCGACTTTCCACTCAAAGGATTTGAACTCTATCGCCTGGAGGGATATGGCCAACAGCGAAACACGGTTAGGGACGGGAGCGAAACAATTCTGAATAGGAAGCTCTGGGAAGCTCTGATGCAAAGAAGTTGTTACAAATCTGAGACCTTGCCGTCGTGGTAGAACATTGCAATGAAACAAATCTGGTTTCAGAGCTGCGATTCACAAATAGGAACCGGAGAAAGAGGTTGCCACAAACCAACAATTACCCACGCAGTGTAAGCACTCCGAAAGACTCCCATAAATTTAAAATGAAATTCTACCTCGAAGTTGCCAAAAGAAACGGAAGAACTCATTCAAGTTCAAGGGCGTTAACATTTCTGTTACGTTCAGTTTTCGGCCGTTTGTAATGCACCAAATAGCCAGCAATCTAAATTTTCTTACACTCCAGAAACCCTGGAGATCTGTTTTGATGAACGTTTTGATCACGAGCGTTTGGAAATCGAGGGCAACAACTCGGGGTAACATAGACCAACCCGGAGGGTAAACGATATCGCGATATGTCTTTTTTGAAGCATTAACTGGTTTACACATTAATCTAGTAACCTTTTCACTCTCCCGCTGATGAAGCCTTACACTTCCTGTAGGGAAAACTTCTATTTATGCCTTTATTCCTCGCTATTTTAAAGTGTGCGTAAAAACAATGTGATTCTATACAGAGGTACAAAACCTACGATGAGCTTCTGCTAGTTCAATTTCAAAGAAAGATCTGACTTGAAAAAGCAGTTCTAAATTCTTACAAAAGCTCATTACCGAATAAAGACTACAACTCACTGCTGTAAAAAAGGGGGGTTAGGGAATAGAGAAAAAAGTCGTCGATCTAATGAGACATTAGCTGTATGCCCGGCGTACAAAGTTGATTGAATGGAGTCAAGTTTCGATGTGAGTCAAGTGCAGTCGTTCGAATCATACCTATCGCGCTTCGCACTTGAATCTACTTCCCCCTCCACGTCCCAACTGTACAAATCTGTTTGTGTGAGCTTAACCAGACAATAAAAGTCAATCATGCATTCTAGGTTGTCAAGTCATGATGTCGTGGGAGTCCGCAAATCTGTTAAAGATTAATAGCTGTGGGCTAACACTGCTCTTGATAATACAAAACTTGAACGACTCTTCTATTTGTTCTTGAAAACTACCCAGACAACATGCAAAAACAGTTGTAAACCGATTGCAAAGTCCAGGAAAACACATTTGACAAGTAAGCAATGAACAATGAATAAGTTCGCAGACACTTTGTTCCAATGTCTTTTTAACGTAATCCGCTGGTCATCTCGGAGCGTGCAGGCGCCCCATGAATCGTGAGGAGTCCTTTGATACGTCGGACGAGAACTTGGATAAATCCAACCCGCGTTCTTCCTTTTCCGTGCGTCTAAAAGCCAACAAAAAGTAAAAAATAAAAAGGAACGAAATAAACCACATGATTATAGATTGAAGAACACTCTTTTTATGATGCAGTGCATTGAAAAGCAATGTCATTGATGACTACGAATGATGCTCGGATATTCTGAAGAGAATTTACCATGAAAGTCAGAAGAAGAGTTCCTCTCAGCGAAATATTTCTTGCATAGTCTGGTTTGTTACCCAGCTGTCTCGCGATTTCTTTAAGACTCGTACGAAGTTCGTTTAAGTTAGGTCAGTCGCCAGGACAGTTGGTATATTCTGTTTAGAGTGAAATAGTTGTCGAAAAAAACGACGAAATCCATCGTAACTAGATATCAAGTTAAAAGCATCTTCTCAGAATTAATACAAACTCGACATCGCTGGAGTTCTTCACTAGAATGAACGGTACATTTCAGCTCACGCATGTCCTTTTTAATTTGCAGATCGATATGCTCTCTACAATATGACCAAGAAAAAAGGTGGTTTTCACTTAACGCACCTGTTCAATCTCAACGAGTTTCTTCAAAAATGTCTCTGTAAGGATACTAGCTGCCTCTCTCTTGAGCTGCAATAAAAAAAAACTAAGACTCTTAGATTTGTAAACATCTTGCATGAATTAATGTCTTAGAAGTTGAGACTAAAGGTATGGTATCCATAGCACACAACGATGGTCCAAGGTATGGTATCCATAGCACACAACGATGGTCCAAGGTATGGTATACATAGCACACAACGATGGTCCAAGGAGAACGGAAGATTTGTCCAGAAAAGGGACCGAAAATTCTTTCTCTAAAGCCAAACCAAAAGTTACCTTTTGGGTACAACAAATCATCGAAACGTAAAAGAAAATAATTATAGCTTATGTGAAAAGGGGGCGGAGTGCGGGGAGGGGTTGGAAACGCCAGAGAAACAGCGAACGAACGAACGAACGAGTAAAAGTGATCGAACAAACACTCACAGCGTCAATATCCTCTCGTGTCACACTTTCTCTAGATCTTATTGCTTCTGAAGCAGGATCTGATGTTACTGAAGCTTCCGTAAGCGACTGTCTCTCTGTAGAAGAAAAAAAAAATCAATGTTAATGTTGAATGACGCTTCATGATAGTTAGGAAAAACTTAATTAAACAAAATTCTCCAAGCTGATATCTAACACCGTATATATTAGTGTCCTTCACGGCCTCTGCTTAGTCTCGTTAAACAACATACTCTTTTTGCTGCAGAGAGAACGCGCGACGCAACCAAATACATTGCCACGAAGGAGAATGACTGACTGATACCTCCGGGCTTACAAAGAATCATTCCAGTCTATTGCCAGAATTTAAGGGATTTTTACAGTAGGTCCTTGCTTTTCTAAGTACAGAGTCACTCTACGACACTGATGATACTACGTTTAACAACAACAAAAAATTACTAAAAATTGACTGTCAAATACATTTTAACAAATAAGTAATTTATCTATCTTTAACTAAAGTAATGCTCACTATTTACCACCTTGCCTCAACGTTAATGAATACCCTCTCGTAGCCCTTAACGAATTTATCAAAGAAGAAGTTGAATCCAAACTCTAAAGAAGACAAATATATCGGGTGAGCGCCAGCTGTGCTCTCTGTGCCACAAGGGACCACAGTCAGTTCCAAAAAAGACAACAACAAAACAACACTACCATGTAATCGTCTCATTTGACTGCTGATCAGCGGCGGTCCAGCGAGAATGCGTCGTTCTTCATCCGACGGGATGCAGCGCAAAAAGTAGAAATCGAGGTGACGCCATAGAATAAACAAACAATTCTCAATAATGTCTGTTGAGTAAGTTAAGAGAAAACCTTTGTTGTCTTAAAAAAAAATTACAATAACGCATTGTTCTGTTCGGAACCAGGCTAAGAGCGAGGCAATCTTTGTTGCTTGCCTAATTCAAGTAGTAAGATCGCTCCTCAAGAATCAAGGAGGCACGGCTTCGAACCGCGCTTTTTCTGAAGTTTCGTTTAAGCTTCTTTCTCTGCAATTTCACACAGAATTACAGTTCACCAGAGCTTATCTAGCCATACTTGTCATTTTGTGGTGTTTGATTTAGTGGTAGCTGGAGAGCAAGGCATTTGAAAAGAATTTCTTTTCAAACAGCCTTGGAAAACGTTTGCAGAACATCAAAGGATACACAACTGAGCAGAAATCTCCTGCGTCTTGTACTGTACAACTTGAGTAAGACATTTCTGTGCCAGTTGGTGACGTTGCTGTGTTGACAATCTCTCTTGAACAGCTCCACCGTGTTGAACTTGGTTTAACTGTGGGATTGGGAACATAGAACACTTATTCAGTTATTCACTCTAGCACATTTTTGGGGTTAGAAGCAATACAGCGTGTCAAACAAGAATTAAACGTGACCATTACCAGGTAACACATTTAAAGTTAGAAAAGAAACTGTTGGAGCTACGTAACTGGCATGGACAAGAACGATTTGCAATTTTTACCCATACATCAACAAAGACATCTAAAGATTCTTATTCTTTCTGACCACCAGCGATAATTGAAATCAGAAATCAAACCTCTCTTAGTTCTTCACTCGTCAACTCGGTCACATTTTGCAGCTTCACACGCGTCTGTGACAACAACTCAGCCGTCTGAAAGACTTGATCGCAACACTTCTTCATGAAAGTCACAGGTAGACCAAGGCTGACTTGAAGGCGGAAAGACACCACAGTTGAGGAACGAATGGCTGTAAGAGATACAAATGATGAAGACAACAAACACAAGAGAACCAAACAATTAACTGAAAATAACTCTTTTAGTTTCTCTTCAATGAGCTGAAATTCCTCACAGTTGTGAAACTTGACGATTTCTTCACAGCGCAAAACTTAGCCAAAGCATAGCACAATAAAGCCGATCGCCAGCATAGATCCCACATGAACAAGCTATTCCTGATCTGCTTTCTCTAGGAGAAAAAACTCAAACGGTAATTTTTCCTCCACGTTTGGTTAGTACCTTAATGACATGCCCTTAAAGTTGGTTTTTTCGCGTTAAAAAGAACGTGATGTTTGAACTAGCGGCCGATTATAGAGTCTTCATCAACGCCGTTGTCTGAGTCTGTCACGCAACCGTCACCCTTCTCCTAATACGACGGCTGAAAAAGGGGACTACAGAACTTCCTAAATTAATAAAAATCTTTTGAAAGAGGTATACGTTCTATATCACTATCGTTGGGATGGAATTCCAGATATGCCATGGGCGTAAAATGAAGCTGTTACTCTCCATACCTTCTCTAGTGAGGCGAGAATCACGTGCTAAAGAGTCCGTCAAACTTGGTGAAAACAGCGCATGACAATGAGAGGGAACCGTACCTGAAGAAAAAGCGCACTTTGTTTACAACCCCTACATTACAGATGGATCTTAAATCCTTGGATACTGTCAGATAAAAAGAAAAAAGCTGTGCGGAAAACGGAAACATCGTGCAATAAATTCCTCAACGTACTACTGGATGTTTGGATGAAAGCAAGCGCGCCTAACAGTGTCAAGTAGCAAATAACCAGTAAATTTTTGTCGACTCTGTCCGTCACGCGAGTGGAGAGAAAGCTTCCACAGATAGGACTAAAATACAGTGTAGGCTAAAATTGACAAAGCAGTAAGGTTACACTCCCAAATACATCGTCACGCAAGAGAAATCAAATTCAATGCAAAAAGTAAAATTCGTACCATATGAATCCATGACCGTTCTACAGTAACCAATAACATTTGAGCAGATTCTTTGCAACTTTTCGGTCGTTTCCATGGCGACCAAACTGTACTTAGCGCCAGGTTCCTCACCGTTTTTCTCCATTACGGATTTGATGATCTGCAAACGTCGTGAGACAGATTAAAATTCTCCTTAAAATAAACACAAGGACAACGAATCCAAGTCATGACTCTTCTCTAATAGCAAATTTGACAATTTAGAACGCCACAGGAAGACCTATTCCCCCAAGAGCTGGCTCTTTAAGTTACGGCTCTTACTGGCTCTTTAAGTTGAACAGTCCGTGAACAGATAGAAGCACAAACAAGAAAAACAAGGACCGTTTTTAAAAACGAAAACAATTGCGAGAATCTTGATCAGTTTTCATTCAACAATAAAATAACTACAGCACTGTACACAAACAAAGAGCGTTTGAAAATGCACTCCTTGCGCTTGCTTCAAATAAATGAGTGAGGTTTGCTAATCATCTCTATCTCTCTTTTTCTCACGCACATTACCCACCTTCTCCCAACTATCGCTTGAACAATATCTCGGCAACAAACCAATCATGAGACGTTCGATCCTTGCTAGGGGTCCTCTAAGTTGGATTTGCTCTTGACCCAGGTCGTCGTCGGCAATGAGGGCATCCTCAGTGAGTGCCATGTTGCTCACAATTCCTGTGACGAGACAGAGTTCCTTTAATGACCCGGATGATTGGAAAGGCTGTCTGTCTTGAAGAATGCTGACAAAAACGTCCACATGTGACACGACAAAGTGTAAAACCTGCAGGGAAATAAACAGCTTAATTTTGCATCAGGAAATGAAACGACAGACAACCTCTACCACGTCTTCCACTTTGAGAGGCAAAAAATGGAAAACAATATTTTATGCAAGCTACTGTAACTTTGACACAAAAAAATCTTGTGTATAATGCATACCAGCCATGCAGTCCGTCTCACGGTGAAGAAGCAACTGTACAGTTTGAAATTTTCTTCAGAGTAAGGCTTATCGACTAGATGTGGCTTACAAGATGCCTGATGCACTTAGAAGAGAAGTGAACAAGCTATTTCTTGGTGATGCTATTCAAAAAAATCGCTTTTTAGATGATAAGTTTGGAACGTGAAAAGCGTCTGGTCTAAGATGATGATTACAGAAATGGCGATGTGGCAATCACGAAAAGACTACAGGTACGAACCGATAAAACATCAATTACCTATTCAACATTTCGAGTTTCCAATTGAAATGTTTCTATCTCTGTTGCGGTTCAATGTTATCCTTGGTTCAAATTTTCTTTTCTTTTGTTTTTGGGTATTGTGATGTATGATAATGAGTTTGAAACAAAGGAAAATAACATTTGAACCAAGGATAAAATTGAATCACAAAATCTCTACATTACCTTAGAAGCTACTTCTTTGTGATTATGTGACCCCAGGGATGTCAGCATTGCCAGTGATACTTTTAAGGCAGGGGTCAATAACTGTCTGTATCTCTCTAACACTGTGGGCACGAATGAGTCGTAGAGGACAGCGCTTGTATCGTGATCATGAGCGTAAATGCCACTGGTCATTAGCCTTTGAGCGGTGTCATGTTCGGGTTTGTGATCCAAAAAGGCACATTCTGCCAGGCGTGATAATAGCCCCGCTTGAAGAAGGACCTTAGCACCATCCGCAGACTGTGCCACTCGGGTTAGTAGGGCCATCTTGGACTCATAGATATACAAAGCCTGGTATGATATCAAGAGAGTTAGTATCATGGGGTCGTTCATTGTGATGAGAAATAGCTCATTATAATTGTGCCTCAAAATTCAGTCAATTCTGATACAGAAAATCACATTTCAATTGGCTGAGCTCCAAAGGCGATAAGGAAGACTGATCACGCATTAACTTAACAACCTTATGAATTATGATACTATAGTGTGACTGTTAGGTCTTCCACAGCTTTGAACATCGAGAATCAACAGGTCACGGTTGTTGAAAACCGACAAAATTACAGCAGAATATCAAACAAGTCGACCTCACTGTCTGAGAGGGTTTAAGTGGATACTAACAGTATGAAGTGTTACATGGATAGCGACTGCACCCTGAGACAGAATCCCAGTGACAATAAGCATTATCACTACAATGACATCCAGGAGCTCATTTATAAGCTGAACTGAATCCACTATAGGAGTATTACCTTAAGGGGCTCTGGGGATGGGTCCAACATTGATTGCAGCATATGGTCCTCGTGAGCCAAGCCGTCCACCATGTGCTTGAGGTAGCCTTTGAGGTTGAGGTAATTCAACCAACGGTGTTGCCAGTCAACAGCAATTATTGCATCAAGAAGGGAAAACGCTAACATCTGAAACGACACCAACAATAACAAAAGAGATCATCTCAGTAAAAAGAATGGAAGAGAGTCAAGAAATTTTATCCTACCTAACATCTAGAATATTTTCTTTCCTGGCTAGCTATTTAACCGATGTAATTACCCGCCCATCATAACTTAAGCCAGTTGCTCTGGTTGGAAACTAAAAACACATATCACTGAGCGGATGGGCAAGGATGAGACGATATAAAATATGACCTCACCACAATCCCACAGGTTTGAAAATTGTGTGATCCTGTTTTCAATAAATTCAAAATGCTTAAACGGCTTTCCAGTATTGACGCTTAAGTGCGGGTCTAAAAAAGCGCTTGAGCTTAACTCCCCCAAGTTTTTAAGACGAAAATGCAATTTGTGCGTCATGACTTACCCGGCCAACATCGTGTCCATCACAAGAATCTCTACAGACTGTGTCCATGAATGGTTCACCATAACTAGACAACACTGGTAGAATACTGGTGTCCCATGGCTGGCCGGGATATAAAGATAATACGTTTTTCATGACACCTGCAATGGCCAAATATTTGTTAGTGTCAATTGTGTAACAAAGCGTAAAGAACAACCAAAATACCGCTCGAAATTCTGAAAGTATGAAAAAGGGAAATCGTGGACTCGTCACTCCAACATCCCGCTTATCTCAAGTAGTCGATGTTACTGTCGAGCTTGAATATTTAACCGTTTGACTCTCAGAAATGATAACATGTAACTTCTCCCTACAATATCTTTATATTATCCAGAGAACGGGTCATAAGAATACTCAAACTTATCGGGAAAAGTTGTGATCTAACACCACATTCTCGAAACTACAAGGACATGTGTAGCAGGTAGAGGGGAGAATTAACAATCAGATCATGGAGGTTTAGGGCTTAACAATTACTCACCGAAGGAGAGGAAAATATCCACAACTTACACCGACAGTGAGGTAAATATTTGTTTTAGTATATACCAAAGAGAAACCAAAACAGTTCATTTCTGTTAATAACGACGCGCAATTTTGTCTCTTTATCTGCTCAGGGGTGAATAGTACTTGTTAGTATATACCACACGGGTGAATAGTGCTTTTAGCACGCACTGATTGGCTGGTTCGGAAGTGATTAGCAAGTACCATTCACTTCCGAGCAGCTGAAGAGACAAAATCGCGCGTCGACAATTTAATTTCGGACCACTTTTTGGTTTATCGAAATATAGAAATATATAGAAATTGCCTGGTTTTCTTTGATTTCTGCGTGTTTTATGCTAAAAAATTATTCACCTCAGTGTCGATGAAAGTGGTGGATATTTACCTTTACTTCAATTAATAATTGTGAATTAATCACGTGCGAACTAGCCACTCAGTGCGCACGAAAAGCTCTATTCACCTATCTGGTTTACTAACAATGCTTATTAAAATCCTCACAATCAATCCTAATAGCAGCTCAAGCTGAAAGAAAGTGTTACCACTGCTGGATATGTCTTGCATCCATCAGCAGTAAGCATTAGGACAGTCATGTCATGTCCTAATTGGCTAACTCGGATATGATCAACAAGCACTACTTATCTTCGCGCAACTGAAGAGACAAGTTGCGTAAGGGTTTTTATTTATGACAATGTTTTGTTACACCGACAGACATGGTATATACTTACACAATTATTCACCTCAGTGTCGGAGACAGTGATGGATATTTACCTCCACTTTGGCGAATAACTGCTAGTTATTTGTAAACTACAAAGTTTTAGACAGCTGAGATAAGGAGAGACCCGCGAAATTACCTCTTTCTTCAGTTGATTCGGACTCTGGCGCTGTCTGCATGAAGTACAGCAGCGCAGCGTACAGGTTTGCCCTGACCCGCTGCAATCCTCCTCCACACCGCAAGACGGTCTCTATCAAACCCTTTAAGATGGCTACAGATGGACCAACGGGAAGAGAGCTCCCAGCTTGAGGATGAACAGGTCTGCCTGCTCCGGTGCTGTCAACACCGGATGTGGATAAGGGGGCTGTGGGAATGGTAGACTGACGTAAATGCGCAAGGAGAGTTAAGATAACCCCGGATACAGGTGATGTCAGTTCAGGCAGAGCATTCTCATCTGCAATCTGAGTCAATCAATGAAAATGTTTTAAATTCATTTCAATAAGGTACTGATTAAGAAACAGACATTTAGCTAAAAGATAATGATTAATTACTAAAAAATATAGACTTTGACATGTATATCATCTCTCAGTCCTTACAAAAGTATTTCAGCGGATGTCTTTATATTTTCTTACAACTTGAGATCTGGTCTAAAAATTAAATCAGCTAATAATATACCGTATTTCCTCGAATAAGCGCCCACACACTCAGCCGTAATGTCAAACAAGCACCCCTCTCGAAAAAGCGCCCCCCTTCTTCCTCACTTTCCTACACAGCAGGAATACACGGAAACCTGTCTCTATAGCCACTTTATTTAGAACATTTTAGGCTTCCACTAAAGTATAAACACTAAAGGAGAATAGTTTCTTTCCCGTTCCAGTTATTTTAATCTGTGTCCATGTGCTTACAGAGTTCCTGTGAGTGCGTTATCTTTTCTTTCAATTTTATCCTATTGCTGCGCTAACTTAATAAGCACCCCCCCTCCAAATTAAGCGCCCTCCATCCATAAACAATAGGTGCCCCTCCTTTGAGCCGTAAGAGGAGTACATACCTTAGAGAGTAAATCCTGTAGTACTTCAGATATAATAGTCTGCCTTGTATCTCTTGGTAAGATATCAACAGAACACGAGGCCAGAGTCACTTCTATAACCCGTCTCCAAGCTTCAAATGCTTCCTTCTTAATGTGCAAACTCTCTCGTACCTTGTTCCGCAGCACGACATTATGAAGAATGTCTTTAACTTCCTTTTTTTAAGACAAACACAGCTACAGTTAGTACAATCGAAAAAAAAAAGAAAAGAAAAAGACGTGCAGCAGAAGAACTAACCAAAGCGGATTCGTAAACACGTCAAGCGCCGTAATTGACGTTACTATAACGTGAGCAGAGACGAAAATCCTCAAAGAGAAAACGGAGAAAGCTACCGAGTTAAATATATTGAACATAAAAGAATAAACTGAAAAGGTGAAGTACTCTGTACCAAGTTTCCAAAGCATAAAGCTGAGTGTGAGGAAAGTAAAAACCTTTGAAAGGACAACACTGACCTGCAACAAGAAGTTTCTCTGTCCAGCTGTAGCAGTGCCCTGTGCCCCAATTATCTCACTCATTAGTAGTTTATGAAGAACGGGAATATTACAGAGCGTCACACCACCATCCTCCGCCTTCTGTTCACAGGAAGCAATGGCCTCCTCAGTGACAGCCATATCAAAATAATTCAACTGTAAGAGTGGAGGCACATCCTGACAGAACTCTACAGACTCAAGAATGGCTAGAAGCTTCCGCCTAGTCTGCGTCTGTCCCATACCAGGATACCCTCCATGGCTGGTGTCAGCTGCGGTAAAATCATCCTCCAACCTCCTTGGAACTACCTCTGGGAAGTGCGTCATACCCATCAACGTCTGAGCTGATGGCTCGCCCATCAAGAGCGTCAGGAGCCTCTGGGTATGTGATCTTTGTCGGCCTTGAGCTGTCATCCTCAGCTCGATGGCAGCAGTCTTCAGAAGCCAGGACTGCTGATTGACGATGGTAAGCATTGGAACAGGAGGCTGTCCTTCGCCCATGTTCATATTTGCAAGATTCCTAAAAGGTAAGTGTTGAAGGTGCTGGTACAGGAAATCATGGCTTGTTCTCAGATAGCGCAGAGTCGGGATTGCAGTATCCTTATTGGCACATAGATTGTAAACAAGCTGATATGCGAGCTCGGTGAATTTTGGAGCGTCTGTAACACACGAAGGGCCACGATGTGTATCCACCTCTCTGTTCAGAATGTCTAGTACTGCGTGGAGACAAGTCTTTGAAGCACCAAGAACACCTGTACCCGAATAAATACATCGTATAAAAAACATATGAAATACATAGAATTTTTACCAGTGGATGATGAGTGACGAATTGATCCTCGCTAGTCACCAGCCTTCCAGATCTCACCGTGAATTAGTTTTCGAAGCCTTACCAGGCTCGATCAATTTTCAACCCTTATGGCGCTCTAGATTTGAACTTACCAGGATCCTGAAGATTGGTCTTGGACACAGGTTTTCTGAGCTCATAGCCCATCAAAAAATGAGCCAGATTGGGCGAAGGGTGTTGAAGAGAATAAAGAACTAATCTCAGAATATTTTGCCTCACAGCGTTGCGAATTTGTGACAATCCAAACGAGTTCTCATCTAAGAATTCTACAAAAGAATGAAAGGACAACAAACATAACTGCTTGGTTTTGGAGATTTCCATAGAAACCAAATTGTAATAGCTACGTCTAGCTAGAGAGGAGCATTAGCTGACGATAGCGAAGTCATAACAAGTTGTTTTCAGCATTGGCTCTCTCGGCTGACGAAGAATTTGGACATTTGAGTAAATTTAAAATTTAGCTGTCGCAACACTAAAATGAACCATTTGTAACAATTACACCTAAAAATTGTGCACTGCGGTATCAAGGCAAAGGGAATGAATTCCCCACATTTTTGTGATGAAAACTCTTACAGGGGTTCAAAAACCTATGACCTGTCGACCTTGAAAGCTCCGTCTGGGAGCCAAATAAAACAACTGTTTTAATTGCGTTCTTTTAAAATGAGAGAGAAATAGTTAATTTGACAGAATGAACTCTAACCATTTCTTAGTTCTTGCTCATCTTTGCCAAGATTTTCTTCAGGTTCATTGATATCTAGCTGATCAACAAATCCAATGAGTATTTTCTGAGCGGCAGCCTAGAAGACAACAAAGCAGAAAACAATGAAACCCAAATTAAACTCACGGTTTTTCAAAAACCCTGAATTTGAGCAAAAGGCTGAAATGTTAAGTCTTCCACCGAATGCTTGTCAAGGAAATAGTTTTTGTTTCAATCATTGGACATTAAAAAGTAAAATTGAGCCAAAGGAGTGTGAGATTACATGGTCTCTCCCATAGGAATTCACAAGCAAGTTCATCCGTCTGGATTTCTACAGTTTTCAGTTTTTACATGAGCAGGGCTGTTGGGGTCATATGACTGTTAGAGTTTCTTTGTGATTTTGGGCAAACTTAGTTTGCCGTACCTGATTAGCAGTCAGGAGATTCACCAAGTGTCTCTGAACGGTTATTGACCGGCAGACCAAACACAAAATCTTAACAACAGATAGGCTGAGTTCAGCTCCAGTGTGAAGATGAGAAACAAACCTGCAGTAACCACAAAAAGTTACATCAGCTATGACAGCCTTATCGATGATATATATTATTGTTATATATATTTTTTTTTTTTTCATCATAAAATGACAAAAGCATCTAAAATGAGAGAAGCTTGGTCAAAGTGTCCTTTGTGTCAGAGCGCCTGGACATTTTTGTGAGTCTCGACATCAACTACGTTGCACATACAGTTCATGATCCCTTTGGGAAGAATTACATGAGTTTTCCGTTAATTTCCAGTTGCTCTGTGCGAGCGCTTTTTCCCCATACAGGGAGCTTCCGTTATCATAGTGCGTATGTATCAACCTATCGCTATATCTCCATTCCATTCCTGTAGGGTATGTTTCTTTGTGGTAATAAAAAAAAGAGTTACATACAATTTAAGAGACAAGTTCTGAAAGCTTTCAATTTACAACCATGCAATTACAGCCACAAAAGATCTTGTTTAAAGAAAAAGACATAATGCTTTGTGAAGTTCCCGTAAATTTAAGTTCTGAAACCAGTCAAAAGAAAAGAAAAAAAAGTAGCAAAGTGGGAACCTTGTTTGCATTCCCCGCCACTAACGCTATATCTCTATTAATTACTAACAATTCTCCAGTCATAAAGAGGAAAATCATTGTACTCATATCAGCACTCACTTCATGATTTTAAGCAGGTAGTCGGGAGAGCCTGTCTGTGGATTAACGCTAAGCAGCAATTCCTCCAAAGGTGAAATCATCACCGTTGACTGTTGTGCTACGCTGCGATATAAGTCCACAAACTTCTCTTGTTTTTCCAAGGAAATTTCAATCATTCTCAGGCAGAGCAATGCCGCTTTTTCCAGATGTTCTCTTCCCTCTGAACAGTTTCAAGAGTTTAATGTTAAGTTGAACTTTATACCTATCAGCACACCAATAAACTACCAGGAGTTGGTGGTAAGGTAAACATAACTGTGAATTCTCTTGTGTGAAAGAGATTTTTTCGGTCTTAGGGGTTAGGGAAGTTAAATTTTTTTTGAAGAAGTTTTATTCAAGCAAAACTGAAGAAAACAAAATGTAAACAGTAAACCTCTGTCCGTAAAAAGTAAATCAACTAACTAAAAACCAAAGTAGCCTTGGGATAGTTACAGGGTGATTATGTTTTAAACCACTTTGCCTATAATATTAGTATAGGTACAGTAACAACATGATTTCAAGTGCAATTTGGTGTTAATAAGAAGGAAGAAGTGAATTTTTCAAAGACAACAAAACTGTGTGAGCCCGTACAGCAAGTGCAATTTGTAGTCTGAGAAAAAATACAGGTACTTATTTACACCAAATTGCATGAGAAATCAACTTGTTACTTTTTCATAATTTACATGAAAAACACATCACAGAAAATCAACACAGGCAAGATTTTGGCAACACGCCCTACTTGTAATTTGCACCTGTGTTACATGGAAAATGCACCCATTTTCAGCCAATCAGATGCGCAAATTTTTTTTCATGTATATTATCAAGGGCCAAACTACCCTTCACTTCTTATGTTCATGCAGCTTACTTGGTTTCAACATGAAATCATCTACTGAATATTTTGTACACCTACATACCTGATGTAACGGAAAGATATTCAAGTGAAGATGAAGCACCATCAATAACATTCAGCAACTGACAGAAAGAAATCAAACACAGTATTTATCATAGGAACATGATGATGAAGTACTATTTGTCTCTTGAGTTCTTTTGAGTCATTACACATGTAAATATAAGGACAAAGTATTTAACCCCCAGAGCAAATAAAGTAACACTGTGTTATTGACTTCACAGAGTTCACATGTGCCATACTTAAACCCTAATTTCCACATGTGAAAAATCATTTAAATTTAGGAGTGGCTTGGTTTCCTACATGGAAGTCTGGATTTGGAACAACTCTGTAAGCTGCCTGTCTTACAGCTGTATCATATACCAAGGTGGAGCACATAGTATGGAATGTTAAAAAAAAAAAACAA